GGCCAGAATGACCACCCACCCAGGAGGGGCATGGCACACACGGAGGCACCCCCTCAGCCCTGGGGACCCTGCTCTTCCCTCCAGCCCCACTCTGTTGAGCCAGTGGCTCAGAACCTTCCAGGGTGCAGTGACGGGGACCCCCAGGACTTCCCAGAGGTGCCCAGACGGCTCACAGAAGCCCCAGGGGGTGAGTGGCAGCAGCTGCTGGGGACCAGGTGAGGGAAGAGTGTGGCGTGGAAGCCTCGTTCTGGGGATTCTTGCACCATTTTCTTAGTGCACTGGTGGGGGGGGCAGCTTGGTCCTTTGTCTTGACATCCCAGTGGGTCCCAGACCCTCTCAGAAGCCTTCTTCTGCCTCGAGAGTCTCGTCCACGTCCTGTTCCTCTTCCCGCCCGCCCTGGAGTGCAGACATGTGGCAGCTGTGTGGGTAACATCGTACTTTACAGACGTGGAGTCCCAAGGCCAAGCCGGGACCTCCCACCGGTGCTGCGAGAGCTGCTGCCGAGCGGAAGGTTTGGCTTGTTTGCCGCGTGAGGGACAGGTCTCCCGGGGCCTGGGGTCACAACCCCAGCTTCACACACGGCCCAGAAAGAGGGAATCGATGGAAGCAGGGAGCAGGACACACCTCTCCAGCCTCTTCCCTCCGACAAGTCATGCTGGGACTCGGGCAGCAGGAGCTGGCAAGGCAAAGGGGCCACCAGTCCCACCCAGCGCAGCACTGGGTCCCAGCTGGTTGGATGGGCGCCCGTAAGGACCATCCACACGGCCTGAGGGGCACATTTCTCAACTGCCCACAGAGCAGCCACACGGCTCCCCGCCTGCCGAGCCTCCCCAGCCCCTCCTTCGTCACAGCCTGGCCACAGCTCAGGGCAGGCCAGGAGAGGAGGGCAAGAGTCAGGCACCAGCCAGTCGTTCTCCCACCTGTAAGCGGGTTACAGTCCACACCTGGGGCCCGCAGCCGAAACTACAGGAGAGTCATGCCCCGCCTGGCAGAGTGCCCAGTGGCCACGAATCACTGCATGCTGACTTCTCCTCCGCACCGCAGGCAGAACGGGAAACTGGGGCTGGCAACAGTGAGTGGTATCGTGGGCACCCAGACAGCACCTCCAAGGCTGGGTCACACGCCATGCGTGCTCAGCCTGGGGGCAGCATATAGGTGGCCTGCCCGCCCGGTGTCAGCTGCCTGTCTTCCTGGCGGCCTGCAGCACAGGGGACAGAAGACCGTGCTGGGTTGTGCAATGTGTGTGTGCTCCTGGACTCCCTCTGAGATGCCTGTCTGCTGCCCAGAACCGTTTGTCCGTAAACACAGCAAGGAGCCCACAGGAGGCCGTGATGGCACAGGAGCTGCATTGCACAACTGCTTCCGATTTTGTTCCCAGTTAACTGAGGAGGTGGCTGCCTGCAAGAGGTGGGTCCCGGGCAGACACTGCTGTTCCCTCTGTTCTCGTGTTGTTTGCGAGCACTCGGTCCAGGAAAGAAGCTGCTCCACAGGCAGGCACAGCCCCCTCCAAGATCTCCTTCTTTCTCAGCTGCCCTCATGAATCCCAGCCACGCCACGACCTGCCTGGCCCCGCCCTGGGCAGGAGTCCAGAGGCTCCGAAGTGTTGTCCCCGAGCCCAGCAAAGAGGGCCCCTCTGCCGAGTGCAGGAGACAGCTCCTCATGGGCAGGCTCCGCTGATGTGCGACAGGATTTGAGAGCCTGTGCAGGACCATCACCGTCAGCCTTCACCCACAGAAGTGATGAATAGGGAGCATGACAGGGAGAGGCCCCTCTGGGTCTGCGGGTCGTTACTCGGTGTTCTGCCAGTGAGAGCAGGGATGGAGGGAGCCTGCTGCTGGCCCAGCCAAGACCAGAGAGCAGGAGAGGGGCCAGGAGCAGCCACACCCTCCTCTGCACGGCTCCTCTGCAGGCAGCAGGAGAACCACCGAGAAGGAGGAAGGGCTTTGGGCCGTGCTGCACACGCCTCCCACTGCAGATCTGCCATGCCCCACACATCTGCCTGGGCTGGACTTGCAGTCCGGGTTCCATGTTCTGTCTGAGGAATGCCGTGTGCAGAGCTCCCTGGGCACCTCGGGGGAGAGCATTTGGTGGCCTCACTACAGTGACAGCTGTTTGCAGATGACAAAATGCATGCCAGTTCTTTTCTCTGCAGCCGGAAGGCCGGGACCAGGCTGGCCCGGAGAGGGTTTGCCCCTGAGAAACCAACCTCCATCCTGCAGGCTCCTCGGGGCACAGGCAGACACGTCTTCTCACCGCAGGAGGAGAGGACAACCTCTCAAAGCTTCCCTTAGAGCCAGCCCGTCCTAACTAGCCAGGTACTCTGAACCCAAGAACCCTTCAGAAAGCTTTAAAGAACAATCCAGAGGGAGGCCGTCTCCTGCTCTGCCACATTCCTCCGGGGATGAATTTCTGATACTCAAACGTCCCTGCCAGGTGGGAGTGGAAGGCCTGGGGCTTGGTCTCTATCAGAAAAGAAATCATCTTAACAAGGAGGACAGGCCTTGCAGACACACAGTGCACCCTGACTGATGTCCCACTTTCAGGGATAACACCATTAAAGAATAACCAATGCGGTTTGCCCAAAGTCTGTGAGATGTACGGAAGAGGGAAGGGGGCTCACACGTGTCTTTGTAGAAGTGAAGAGTAAACTTGTTAAAGTTCCCTCAATGTTACCTTTAATTCTCATGCTCGCGATGTCCCCCCTTGCCCTCCTAACGCTGCTCGCTGCCTCCGCTCTCCTGTGTGGAGGTCACCCAGCTGCAGTGACACAGAGCATCGTTCTCCTGTCTCCCCCCGCCGGCCTGCCACAGCTGAGGGTCAGGGAGGGCGGGAGGGAGAAGGAAAGAACCCGGTACCCCACATCCCCCTCAGAGGAGCCCCGAGAGTTTGAAAGAGGGGCAGCTAGCAGGGCAGCTGTACAGGCTCACAGGACTCGGGACTCAGCCGGGGGCCTGCTGGGGACCGCTGAGAAGGGGGAGAACGACAACTCCGCAGAGGGGCTCTGTCCTCAGGAAGCGGCCGCACGTGTGGGGAGCGGGCCAGAGTTGGGGGGGAGCCCTGTCTGGGCACACAGCCCCCATGCCCAGCCTGCGGGAAGCCCCGACTCACACCCAGGCCGGCCCGAAGTGTGGACCAGTGTCGGGGTCACAGTGTGACATTAGGACAAACCTTCTCTGCAGCATTTTCCTGGAGCTGGACCGGGCTCCACACGGAGCTGCCCAGAGGCATGGTGCCGAGGGGCAGGGAAGTGAGGGGCGGGGTGTTGTCAGATATTTGGAGAAGCAGAGACAGACGTGCTAAGACAAGGACGAAAGACTCAGAGGCCGTAGCCCGGAAGGAGGAGACACGTGGACGCAGCAAGACCAGCCAGCGTCACCCTGGCTCCTTGGTGGGGTGGCCTCAGTGCAGAGCACTCACAGGAGAAGGTGACGCTCCAGGTGGATCAGAGCCTGGGCTGGCTCCCAGACATGGCGTCAACACAGCCTCCTTGCCCCCCTCCCAGGTGGAAGCCTCATGTTCTTCTGGAAGGAAGCCGCTCTGCACCTGCTTCCACCGCAGAGGAGCCTTCCTGCCCCTCGGCTCCTTCATTAGACTAGCCGGCTGCGGGGCCCTGCTCCCTCCCTGCGCCCCAGACAGGGCTGATTGGGTCACCAGATGTCAGCATGAGCAGAAGAGGGAGAAGCTTGGTGCTGAAGGAGCCAGAGGAGCTGGCATTCATCACGGTGGCCTAGTGCAGCCTGGGGCCAACCCAGCTGGGCTCTCCTACCAGGAGGGGCGTCTGCAGGTGGGTGGTCCCTGAGGCTGCGCTGCAGAGACAAGGTGCCAGGCATAAGCCCCTCCCTCTTTCTTGAGCACCTACATCCCAGGAGGATGTTTGACCTCCATCCCGGGTTTCCCCATATTCCAAGCTAGTCCCCAGCCCGTGTCCCTCAGCATCTCAGCATCATCGGGATCGCAAGAAGGGGGTGGTGGCGAGAAGGGCAGTGGGCTTGGCCCGGTGAGCGTGCAGGACCTCCAGACCAGCTGCGGGGCTTGGGCAAGAAGCTTCATACTCACGGTCCGGTGTCCCCGTCCGCAAAGTAGAGGTAGTGACAGCCACACGGCCATGCGGGCAGACTGCTGAGCGTCAAAAGCTGTCTGGGCTCAGCATAAAGGCACGGTAACCCCGGGCAGTGCCAGCTTCCCTCCCTGGGCGCCACCCAGCCCCCCTCACGGCCCCATGGCCTCTCCTAACGTGGGACCCGGATCCCGCACTTGTCTGGAGGAGGGGGTGATCTTCAGGCCCCCTAAACCTGATGAGAAGCCGCTGCCCGCCGGCCACACCCAGGGCCACAGCTCCCAAGGTGGATGGGAGGCACCCGCCCTGAGGAGCCGTGGGGATTCAGGAGAAGAAGCGACCGCCGGTACACAGTCCTCAATTTCCAAAGATCCCTGGTAACCTCTTAGGAGTTCCCAAAAAAGACAATTGTCACAAGCTACTTTTAGCATTGGTTGATTTATTACTAATAGATTATTAAATTTTTGTCGTGTTCTTTTATTATGAAACTATGATCATGTTACTATATTTTTTTAAGATTTTATTTTTCCTTTTTCTCCCTAAGCCCCCCCGCTACATAGTTGTATGTTTTAGTTGTGAGTCCTTCTAGCTGTGGCATGTGGACGCTGCCTCAGCGTGGCCTAACAAGCGGTGCCATCTCCGCGCCCAGGATCCGAACCAGCAAAACCCTGGGCCTCGGAAGCAGAGCGCGAGAACTTAACCACTCGGCCACGGGGCCGGCCCCTCACGTGACTATTTTTAAATGTGCCGTGTGGGTCAGGCACCTGTGGGGAAACGCTGCAGTGCGAAGGGCAGAGGAGAGGGAGTGATGAGGGGACGTGTCCGAGGGGAACTGGCAAGACCAGCAGGGAAGGTGCAAGGCTGGCCGACACTGCGGCAACGGCCTGGGCCAACCGGGGAGGGGACAAGGGGATGGGGGCAGGGGGGATGGGGGGATGGGGGATGGCATGGGGGCGGGGTTGGGTACTAGAAGGGAATGGGGAGAGGAACAAGCTACTGCTAAACCACAATGGGGCTGGGAGGACAAATTCCTGCCTCCTGTCTCCTCCGGCGGGAGAGACGCTGGGCCCCGGGCTCACAGAGTCAGCCTCTCAGGGCTCAGAGAAGGGCAGGGAGCGATTCTAAAGGCCACATGGGCCAAACAGCCGGACCCCTCTGCGACACTGAGCGCTGAGCAGGGGTCCTGCAGGACTCAGTCCTTGCCTCCTGCCTACTCCATCCTCTCCCTGCCCCACACGCCAGAGGCTCAACCTGTGCGGTGGTGGATGAAGGACGGCTGCAGGGTCTCCACTGCTCCCCCCATTGCCAGGGGCAGCCGGCCCCCCCGCCCACTGGCCCGGGGTGCTGGCTGGCTCCACGACATGCTCTTGCTCGAAGTGAGGCAGCAGAAGAGAGCTTGTGGTACGTCTGGACAGGATGGTAGATGCCTCCTCACTTCTACCCTCTCTTTGGGACCTCCTCACTCAGGAAGAGGTCAGCCACCAGGGGACAATCCGAGGACCCTGCAACGGCCAGGCTGGAGAGTCCACCCTGGTGCTCTCTTCAGGTCGCCCCGTCAAGGCTGGAGGCGTGTGAATGAAGTGGTCTTGGGCTCCCTGGACCAGCCCACCCGCCAGATGGGTATCATCAAGTGACCCCTTTCAGCTCCAGGAGGCACGGGGGAGCCACCAAGCTGCAGCAGCCCGAACGCCTGACCCATGAAATCAGGACATACAGTCACATGATTGCTGTTCTAAATCCCTAAATGCAGGGTTGTGGGCATCAATAGATCACAGGGACAGAAACCTCTATCTCGCTTTCGGTCCCCTCCGTGAACGCGTCCCCGTCCGCCAGCGCCACTAAGCACAGTCAAGGAGCGACAGTGACATCGCACCTGCACAGGGCCCGCACTGGCCATGCTGCCTCGGGGACTTGAGGCCTTGTGCTACCTGCTGCGGTGACAGGACTGACGTGCATACGTGAGTCTCTTAGGCACACGACTCGAGCCAGGCCAATCTGTGGGGCAAAGACTCGCTGTTAGCAAAGAGGTGAATCTGACTAATTTCAGTTGAATCTCCGTGAACAGCTGCTGAGCCTCTGACGGGTCCCAGGTGATGCTTCCGGGCTGACCATAGTGGGGACTGGTTTCCACTCTGAGAGATGCTCTGTCTTCATTACTGTATCCCGTGGCAGTGACCGAAAACCTCAGCCTTGGTCCTGACAGCGTGAGATTCTTTCTAACAAGCAGAAACACCCCAAAGGGGATAAAGCGGGTTCAAAGGAACCCCCACGGACACTCAGCACCCGTAGAGATGCTCAGGGGAAGGAACAGAAGAGCTGACCCTGGCCCTCCTCTGCGTTTTCCAACAAGGGATCCTGGACAAGCCTCTCAGCCTCTCTGAGCCTCTTCATCGGGGAAACAGACTCGAGGACCAGTGTGGAGACATGCACCAGCACTCATGCAGTGCTCCGAGCATGCGCTCTGCCCTCAGGGGATGCAGCACTGCACTGAGGCCACCAAGCCCCCCACAGCCACACTCCTCCCAGCCTTTGTTTTTTTTTTGCTGAGGAAGACTGGCCCTGAGCTAATATCTTTGCCCATCTTCCTCTATTTTGTATGTGGGATGGCTGCCACAGCATGGCTCGATGAGTGATGTGTAGTTCTGTGCCCGGGATCTAAAGCGCCAAACCCCAGACCGCTGAAGCAGAGCACACAATCTTAACCACTATGGCACTGAGCCAGCCCCTTCTCCCAGCCTTTAAGGTCAATCTCGTAGGTGATTCCCAGGAGGGGACCCCAGAATGCAGCATTCCCAGATGGGGCACAGGCTCCCCGTAGTCCTACAGGGCCAGTTTAGACACACATCGGCCACCCTTCACTCCCCTCCTCTGAGCTGCATTCCTCCCCTGGGAACAAGGGAGGTGAGCCAGGAGCCCTGCAGCGCCCCTGCCCAGTGCTGTCTGGGACTGTCACCATGGACACTCGGGTCACTGTGGCCTGTGTTTTCACTCAAGCCATGAGGAGCCCACTCAGAAGACGGCTCCTAGCTCACCCAGCTGCACGGCGGTCTGGAGGGTCCGTCTGGAATGGCAGCTCCCAGCAAGTGTTGAGAAGGATTCTGAGGCTGCGTTCAGACCCCACCCGTGAGCACTTAGTGGCGTCTGCCAAGGAGGACGGAGGAAGTGGTGGCGGCTTGTGTGGTGGCGGTCTGCCAGCTCTGCAGACAGTCAGGGGTGGGGCGAGGCTTCCAGATGGACTGACAGGCAGAGACGTTACAGAAAAACGTCCCGCCTGAAGGAGCCACAGTTCCACCGCCCTGCTGGCCCGAGTCCGAGGCTGAAAAGCATCTGGTCCCCCTCAGTTACTCCGTGCTGAGAGGACAGAGGGCCACAGTCACCCCGCCTGCACCCAACCTGAGCCTCCAGTGACCAGGGCGCGTGCTCCGGCCGAGCGGCCAGCCCCCGGGTCGTCCATGGCCACAGAGGGCCAGGAAATCAAAACCTGACGCTGCAGGAGGTGGGGAGCCGCAGAGCTTCCATTCCAGGGCTTGGGGAAGACGTCAAGCCAGTGACAGCCGAGCAGGAGCCCGTAGTGCTGAGACCCCCAGCCGTCGTCCCCACCCCGAGGGGTGCCGGCAGCCCACCGTGGCAGGGCACATGGCGAGCCGCATCTTTTCTGGGTTGCAGGAGGCTTGGGATTCAAAGAGCAGAAGGCATTCTTTTAAAAGAAGCAGCGGTCCGGCAGGCAGGCATCCAGCCACAAGCTGCCTTGTTGGATCCCTCTGGCTGAACTGCGAGGGCTGAGCCGGGGCGGCCTGACCTCGCCAGCCGTAGTGCGGCTCCCCTGAGGTGGCGGGGCCCTGGCTGGAACCCCGGGCTCTCTGCACGGTCAGGCACTCGCCTCTCTGGGCACCAGATACTTACCTGCCCTTGCAGGCAGAGGCCCTGTGCCCTTACCTTCCAGAAACAGCTTGCCCCACGGCTGCCTTCTCTGGCCCCAGAGGATTTGGGCTCCAGCCTCCAGGAGCTCCAGGTCTCGTGAACGAGCCACAGGGTGTCGCAGGGTAAGAGGACCAGGGGTGCATGGCTCTGACCAGTGGAGATGTGGACAGAGAGGAAGGCTCAGGGCTCGGCAGCTCGGGGAGCAATGCAGGGGAGTGGCGCTGGCCTGGCCCCCCACGGAGCCTAGCTTTAGTGGGACAGGAGAGTGGAGCAGGGGCTTCTGGGCCAGAGGAAGGGCCCTGGGAAGACACGGAGGTGTGGAAGGCTGACGGAGACAGGGGCGCCTCTGCGGGTCCAGGGGGAGTGGTGGGGGCCAAAGCAGGAAGGTCGCACCCAGCACAGTCGGGATGGATGGGATGTGTGTGGCTGGTCATGCGGCTTATGGAGGAAAAGCAGAAGTGGCCCTGGGTCTCTCAGGGACACAGAAGAGACAGGTGTGGGAAAGTCTGTGGGCATCCCTTGGGGCCGCAGGCAGGAGGAGGAAAACGGAGGGACCCTGGGACTCCAGGGTAGGGGGTCTTAGTGCCAGTGGGGAGACAGCCGGGTGGGCAAGGCATAGACCCATGTGGGCCAGGTGAGCTGGCCCGAGGAGCGGGCACAGGAGCCGGCGAGGGCTCTGGAGGGCAGTCAGGGAGGATGGAGGAGCAGGAGGCGTGAGGAAGGAGTGGGGAGGCAGCCGGCCACGTGGCGGGGGCAGAGGCGAGACTGGAACCTTCCTGGGACGGAGGACTCGGAGCCAGGGGCCCTTGCCATGAGCTGGTTGAGCAGAGTGGGAACAACCACGGCGGAAACCCAGGCCCTCACAAGCCACACACACATACACGCCCACTGCAGGAAACACAAATGTGCTGTGAAACCTGGGCATCTAATAGAAAATGTGGGAGGAGGTATTTATCACCTCGGTCAACCTGGGGCTGAGCTTCCTGAGCCGAACGTGGAAGCCGATGCCCCCAGGGACCACCAGGACCCAGGAGCACACGTCGCCGAAAGCATGGGAAGGATGGAGAATTCAAGCAGCTTTGACGCAAAACAGTAAAGAGAAAATACATTAAAGTTCCACGGCAGGACTAAGGGTTAATGTACGAAATGCATCAAGAGCTTTCAGAAATTAATAAGAAAAGGGCAGACAACTCAGAAAAACTTTAGCAAGACAAAGACAAACTTTCAGTGAGCCGGCGGGCTCTCCCTGGGTTCCCAGCCTCCCCAGGGCAACGGACTTCCCAGTCTGGCCTCCGGGACGTCGCGGGGTAGGGGCTCCCGTCCCAGCAGAGGCGGCTACAGCCCCACGTGCCCCCTGCCCCCCGTGGCACCCTGGAGGCCCAAGGCCCACCTGCCTGGCTTCCAAGTGGAGGACACTCACAGGCAGCAGAAAACAAAGCAATCGTGTTCGGCCACGCGGATTTCAGACTGTCCATGGCAGCAGTTGGTGTTACTTTGCCTGATTAACACAGAAAGAAACTGGCCATTCCCAGGGGAAAATAATAAATTGGCCGTAAAGATGTGAAAAACGTTCACCCCACTAGTGGCCAAGAGCATGACGTGTCAAGCAACCTTGAGACGCTCTTTTTGACCCATCTGCAGTATTTCAAGAACATCACCCACATCCAGTATCGGAGAGAACGTGGGGACAAGGACACCCGAGACCCTGTTGGTGGAAGCACAATTAGTACAGGCTTGTTGGGGAATAAATTGGCAATAACTGTAAGAAATGTAAATACGTGTACCTATGAGTTAGCAGTTCTGTTTCTAGGAGTCATTTTACAGACATATTCCTACTGAGATAGACAGTGGCTGCAGATACATGTGCACATTCCCACTCTTTAAACACGTGCATATAAAGCCCTGCTGGGTTGCTGCACTGTTTGTATAAGCAGCAATAACTGAAACAACTTAAATGGCCATCGATAAGGCATTATTTAAGTTAATTAAAATACACTCACCCCCAGGAAGATGGTGGAACTGACAATCAACGTGGGAAATCTGTATGGGTGAACATCAAGAGAGGTCTGTGATTTATCACACGAAAAGCCAAATGGCAGAAAAAGTATGTTATGATCCAAAATACGTTCTTTTTTTTTTTTCCACACTGTGTGAATATATGGTTGTTTACATGCAGATATGTATGCATACATGAACTCACCCGCACCCACACGGGCACACACACAACATTAAAGGTTTGGAAACGTCGGGAGGAATCCCCATCAGACTGTAAATAGTAACACCTGAGGGGGATGGAGCCTAACGGGAAGTGAGCGGATTGGCACTTTTTTTTTCTCTCTCTCTCTTTTGGTGAGGAAGATTGGCCCTGAGCTAACATCTGTTGCCAATCTTCCTCTTTTTTTTTTCTCTTCCCAAAGCCCCGGCACGTAGCTGTATACCCTAGTTCTGAGTCATTCTGTTCCATGTGGCACACTGCCACAGCGTGGCCCAATGAGTAGTGTGTAGGTCTGCACCCGGGATCTGAACCAGCAAAATTTGGGCCGCTGAAGCAGAACACACGAACTTAACCACTCAGCAACAGGGCCAGCCCTTGGGACTCTTTTTGGCTATAGCTTTCTGCATTGTATTATGTTTATAATAAACAAGTAAGGAGAAAGAATAACGCAGGAGTTGAGAAAATGGGACGCATGTGAAGAGTGTTTGAGGGGACAGAGGACCTGCCCAGGACACCCAGGGCTCTCCGGAGGCTGTCCACACAACCTTGCGTGTGCATGCATGCATATATTTTTCAGAAGAGTTTCTGTAGCTTTTATCAACTCTTGGAGGGGTCCGTGGGTCCAAGAAGGTTGGAACCATTGACGTAGTCTACATCTTCGAGAAGTCAGACCACGACGGGAAGCAGAGACGGGCCCAGCCTGAAGGGCAGGCATGTCGGGGGGCGACGTGAACCCGGGATAAATAGCAGCTGGTGTGGCTGTAGCTCCCCCCTGACAGACGCCACAGGAATCTAAACAAGGGAAAGTGGGCGTTCGCACACGCAGTCCATCAAGTTTCCTGGAGCAGATCCGCCACTCGTGCTTGGCACCTGCCGAGCGTTCAGCTGGTCGTAGGGTGCTAGGAGGCAGGTCCTTCCCTCCCGGGGCGGGAGCATCGCTCGCCAGGCCCACTCCCCGTGCTGCAGAGGAGGGGGCTGGTATCTGGCTCATCGTAAAGCCTCGCCCGTGACCTGGTTTTTTTTCTCTCTCTAGAAGCTTTTAGCTTCTTCTCTTTCCCTGATGTCCCTAAGTTTCACAGCAGCATGCATGGATGGGGGTCTTTTTGTCACCGCTGTGCTAAGCCCTTGGTGGCTCCTTCAGCCTAGAATCTCCTGTCCTGTCTCCTGTTTTGGTGAATGTTTCTGACGGCGTCCTCGCCTCTTTCCTCCTCTGGAGCTCCTGCTGGTCAGACCTTGTACCGCCTCCGTTAACGCTTTAATCTCCCTCTGTGCCCGCCTTCGTCTTTCTCTCCCACTTCCTGCGAGATTTCCTCTACGCTATTTTCCCCAATCAATTGGACTTTTTTTCTTCTTCAACATAATGTTAACTTCTTAGAGCTCTTTCACTTATTCCGAATGCCCCCTTCTCCATCGCATTACTGTTCCGTGGATGTGTCCTTTTCTGCACCATCCCCCCTCTCCCTGAGCCCCTTCTGTCCGTTGTTGTTTGTGTCTGTCATGCCCGACAGAGGCCCCGATGCCCAGGGGTCTGGGGCCACATCCTGCCCATACTTAAGGCCCCGGTTGGCTGGCTGGAAGCTCAGTGTGGGTGAGTGGGGCTTGTCAAATGCTTGTCTGCCTGTCGGCTGATCAGGTGGGTGCCTGGCTGTGTCCCTGCACGACCCCCAGATGTGGGTCCTGTCCGTCTTTTCTCTGGATGGTCAGTCTCGCTGGAGAAAACTCCTACATTCAGCCCACACAGCACAATCGGCATGCGGCTGAGGGGAAAGCGGGAACGGCTGACTGCCCAGAAAGCAGATTTTTCTTGATTCATCTGTTTTCAGTCTGAGTTCTCCGTCCTCGCTCTGGCTGGGGTTTCCAGGCTCAGAGCCTTCCTGAGTCAGTCCTTCTAAGAGTAGGCCCCCTCGCTTCAGCGACGTGGCACCTCTGACGCCAAGTGCCCTGGGGTTTGGTGTGGCTCCGAAGTTCTCGGTACCCTCACATTGAGAGGTGAGCATCTATGGACCTTACTCTTCAACCGGGCGGGCTCATGACCACTTCATCAACAGAGTATGGCAGAGGCCAGGCTGTGGGGCTCCTGAGGCTGAGCCGCAGAAGGCCAAGCAGCCTGTGCCAGGTGGCTCTGGAACCCTCCTCTGAGACCTCAGCCGCCGTGCTGGGTGGAAGCCCATGCCCCCTGTGAGGAGCTCCGATCAACACCCTGGGTCTCCCCAGTTAAGGCCCAGACGCAGAGGGGCAGCTACAAGCCAGCCCCACCCTGCCCTGTCTGGGTTCCTGGGCACAGAATCCCGGAGGATGCTGTTCTGTGCCTGTCAGTAAGGGTTGGTTGTGCACCAACAGGACCTGCAACAACCTTAAATTTCCTTTTTATGATCCCCTTACCCACCACACACATGCACACATACGCGCACACACATGCACACGTGTGCACACTCGCTGGCCCATAGTTCTCAGCTGATCCATTCTGCCAAGCCACATACTACCCATTTTCCAAAATTCTGTTGTCAAGTCTGGTCTGCTGTTGTCCACATCCCTCTGGATTTATACCTTTCTGCATCCATTCACTGTGATTTTGTGATGATTCAGAGGAAATCAAGAAAGACACACGATTAATCTGCCACTTTCAACCAGAGACAGCAGCAAACCTGTCTGTGGTCCTTCTAAATAAGTAAACCCAGAGCCAAATTAAAATGCTCCAAATCAAATTGCCTCGGGTAAACTGAGGCAGTAACTTGGGGAACAGGGGTGTCCACGGTGGGCATCAGCCTCAGCACAGCACTGCTGTGTCTGTGACAGGCATGCTGAGCCCCACGGCTCCTCACCCAACTTGCTCATGTACATACATTATCAGAACAAAGACACAGGCCTCCTGCTTTGATCTCCACAGTCTAGGGAGCTCACCACACACTTAAAATAAAAGCCCGAACAAAAAGGAGGCGAGAGAGCCCCAGAGAAGAAAGAAAGCTCTTTCAGTGGGCAGCAGGGAGGTCTCCCTCGGGTGAGGCAAGGCTTGGGCCTGCCCTGAGAGGGAGGGCAGCTGGAGCCTGGAGAGAGCACAGGCTGGAATGCAGAAGCAAGTGCACGTCTGCAGCAGCCACCGGGTGCACAGCAGCCTTGCACACCCAGTGAACGAGGTATGGACAGGGCTACTCAGGATTGGTGAAACTGGGTCAGCAGAGTTCAGTGTGAACTCAAGCAGGAAGCGATCAGTCTCAGGTTGAATAATTGCTTAGATCAGGGACTTCAGACAAAGAAGAGCCTTTCCAGCACCACAGGCTGTATCTGTGCAGCTGGCTAGCCCTGTCAGATGTTGCTCCGTTGCACCTGAGTCAGCAAAACCTGTCACTGCTCCTAGAAAAATGGCTCTGAGCACATCTCCCGATGGCGCCGTGACCTGTGTGGGGGAGATAGAGTGTTAACAGTGGTTTTTGGTGTGTTAAATGGTACCCATTGCAAATAATTGCTACAATGCCCCAAATGACTGTCTTGTTCACCCTTTAGTAACCTTATGAGGAGCAAGAGAATAATCAAAGAGCCCCAGCCAAGGGCTCAGGGGCCTGGCCTCTCGATGGCTGTGGCCACTTGCATGCTGTGTGCCCTCTCTGGGGTGAATCGCCCTCTCTGGGCCTCCTTCACGTGAAATGAGGAGTAAACCAGTGTTTGTCAGCATGGGGCAGTGCCATGCCACCTGCAGCCATGTGGGGATGCGTCGGCCCATGGGCTCATCTCCTGACTGAAGGCTGCTGGGAGTTAGTGCCCAGCCAGGGCCGCTAACTGCCCCGAAAGGGGCTGCCTGGGCTCCACGACAAGGCTGCTCTTCCAGGAACACCCACCGTGTGTGCTTCAAGCCTGGGTAGGTGGCCCTGTCTCCACCACGGGAACCTGATTCTGTGATCAGCGGGCGATGAAGAAATGAGCGGGAGATCCTAGGGGCTACTGGCTCTAAGAACTCACCAACGTTTTTCTGTGAACATTGCCAATACAGAGAAAAGTAGGCAGAATGGCCCAGTGAACCCACCGCCTAGAAGCCTCCGTCCGCATTTGCACACACGTCTCCTCTCAGTGCATCCACCCGCCACCCAGCCGTCTGTCCAGCGTCTCTCGCTCGTTTCAGAGTGAGTGGCAGACCTCAGTGCCCTTCACTGCAAGCACATGGGCACGAGAATTGTTAGCTCGCCTCAGGGTTTCCTACGGTTTTATTTTTTCTGGAAGATGTGCGTGGAGCAGCAGGAGCACTGCTTGATCTGGGCCCTCCCGGGCAGTCTGCACAGCCCTTCCTGGCACAGCGAGTAGGGGAGCCCCCGTCACCCACTGTGATCGTGGGTGCCCGGAGGTGGTGCGGAGGATGGCGGCAACAGCCATGCGGTCTGCGGAAGGGGAGACGCCGAGCACTCGCCATCCGATGCCAGGCCTCGGTCCCACACGGGGTCAGTGACCTGAGGAAGTCCAGCCACCTCCCGGGCCCATCTCCATGTCTCTAAGATGGGGACAGTGACATTCTGCCTGCTCCAGCAGCACAGTGTGGGCGGCTGTGAGGCCACGTGTGCTCACCTGCGAGAGAGCGCTTTAAACTGCGCTGTCCTGAGAAGGGCAAGGACCGAGACAGGAGAGTGGTTTGTTCACCAGCCAGGGTGGAAGAATGACTCTCAGATGGCCTGGCTCAGGCCGAATGCCCACCCCCAGCCTGTTCCCAAGGCTGGTAGCAGTTGTGGTCTGATCAGTGGGGGCTGAGGGGAGAGAGCAGGGGTCCGGAGGGAGCAGCTCCTTCTCCAGAGCCAGGGCCGCCTCCAGGCCATGTGGGGCTGCGTGGACCCTGCCGACAGCTGGCACACTGTGACTCCGTCGCAGGTCTGGGCTGGGCTGTCATCGGGGCAGCTGGGCTTGCTCCTGCAGAAACAGGAGGACCCGTAGGACGCTGCCACGCATCGTGAGGCGGATCGCTTTTCAAAGGAATGTTTCTTGCTGCAAACGCTGTGTCCTCGTCACGGTCCAGAGTGTGTGTGTTCCTTGCGAGGCCTCAGCTCAGACTGTCCTACAGCAGAGCATGAAGCCGAGCTGCCCTGAGTGCCCTGGAGCGGCCACCATGGGTGCCTGGCCTTGTCACAGGCCTCCGACCCTCAGCCACAGCCTCCAGTGGTGGCCTCCACCAAGGGCGTGCAGGGAGGAGAAAGAGGGTGCTGGCCCTGGCCGGGACAGCCTGAGGCATCCCCAGCGTCCGAGCCCCAGGTGCTGACGCGGCCCAGGGCTCAGTTGGTACATGGTCCTCTGTTATGTTCCCCCTTCCTCTCCCTGTCTCCCCACTCCCCTTTCTGAGCAGGACTTTCTGCCATCAGCTCCCAAATAAACCGTTTCCAGAGGCCCCACCCTAGACACACACACCGAAGAACCTGAGAAAGCATCTTCCTGTGTTCCAAGTGCAAACAGTGGGCTCCCCGCTGGGTCCCTCATCTTCCCGTCTACACGCTCTCCCTGGCCATTTCTTCGTATCTCAGAGTTTGGGCCAGGAAGTAAATGATAACAATCTTTTCACCCTTGGCCTTCAGAAACCACGGTGAACAGTGTGGGTGCCTCACCTGCCAGTCCTCGTCCCCTCCAGCTGGCCCCCAACCCCGGACTGCAGAGAAGGAGAGCTAAGAGAGGCTCACGTAACCTGGAGGCAGAACCAAGTGACACAGGAATGACACGGCCAGGCATCCACTGTGCTGGGCATACTGGGGACAGAGCAGATCTGCCATCCGCAGCTCCCAGATTTGGTGGCTCCTGTACCCACAGCTCAGGCAGCACGGCCATGGCTGTTCCTGGAAGTTCAGCGACTCACTGTTGCTGAGAGGGAGCCCGACTGCTAACCCTGTGTGAGCCACAGTTTTCTCACGTGGGACCCCTCGAGAAGCAACGCTAAATTCAGAGTGACTTCGGGGACCGAGTCTCCCAGCTTAGGATCCCTGGAGCTGGGGAGATTCATGTGCTCCGTGGGTGTCAAGAGTTTGCACGAAGGGCGAGTCCGGGCTCTGCGTCCCACGACACAAAGGAAGTGGGCACCCCGACTCCTGACCCTCCTGAGAACCCTCCCTCCCCCTCCCAGCTTCGCTCCACTCCTTGCAGGAGTTCTAATCCAGCATCCGCACAGCCAAGGGCAGGGTGAGGGCCCCGCCGCACAGACCAGGAGGGACCAAGGACGGAAGCTGGCACTCCTCTCCGGGGGTCTCAGCCAGCAAGGCCCCGGGTCCTGGCCCCGTCTCCATGGGCAGCAGTCCATCCCGCTCTTGGCACCTGCCTGGCCCTGCCTGGCCCCGGCCTGTGGTTCATCCTGGCTCTCCCTCCTCCCATTTCCAGCGACAGCTCATCTCACTTCCAGGTTACTCAAGTTTGGGGACGTTCTGCCTGTGTCTTCCTAACAGACGGCCTTGCCCTCCACGTTACCAAGCCCCATAAAAGCAGATACATTAAAACAACAATGAGATGTCACCTCACACCTACCAGGACGGCCAAAATCCAGGACACTGACAACACCAAACACTGGCGAGGATACGGACAACAGAAACTCTCACTCCTGGCTGGTGGGAACGCAAAATGGTCCAGCCACTGTGCAAGACAGTTTGATGGTTTCCTACAAAACTAAACATGCTCTTACCAAGTGTTCCAGCAATCGACTCCATTCCTTGGTATTTATTCAAATGAGCTGGAAACATGTCCACACAGATTCTTGCACACAGATGCTCACAGCAGCTTTTCTCATCATTGCCAAGATCTGGAAGCAACCAAGACGTCTTTGGTAGCTGAATGGATAAATGAGCTGAGGTTCATCCTACGATGTAATATTAGTCAGAGATAAAAAGAAATGAGCTACTGAGCCATGAAAAGACACGGAGGAACCTTACGTAAACCTCACTAAGTGGAAGAGCCAGTCTGAAAAGGCTATACTGCACGATTCCAACTCTGTGACATTCTGGAAAAGGCAAAACGGTGGCGACAGCACAAGGATCAGGCTCAGCGGTTGCTGGAGATGCAGGGGAGGATGAGCAGGCAGAGTGCAGGGGAGGACGAGCAGGTGGGGCGCAGGGGAGGATGAGCAGGCAGGGCGCAGCGGCCTGCAGGGCAGCCACTCTGCGATGCTGTAATGGTGGATGCACGTAATCATACATTTGTCCAAACCCACAGAACGCTCTCCACCAGGGGCGAGCCCAAGTGTGAACTACAGACTTTAGATGAGACGATGTGTAGGGGTTCATCGATTGTAACAAACGTACCCCCTGGTGGGGATGTTGACAGAGGGGGAGGCTGTGCATGGGGGGTGGGGCAGGGGGATTATGGGAATCTCTGTACCTCCCCCTCATTTTTGCTGTGAACCTAAAACTGGTTCACTAAACTGAAAGTTAGTTAGTTAGTTCACTAACCTAAAACTGTGAAGACTAAAACTGGTCTAAAAAGAAGAAGATCAGAGCCAGAGGCTCGCACAGACGGCTGTGCTGGGCGCTGCCCTTTCTCTCATAAGACGCCTGAGCACCAGTCTGCTGCCGCTCCTCACTTCACAGCCTGAAACAGCGGGGGTTCGCACTGGCACCCCTAACAAGTCCTGAGCAAAGGGTGCACGCGGGGCCCTCCCCACACGGTCAGGCTGAGTGTGGCCTGGCTGCACTTCCGCAAACACGCATGGAAGCAGGCAAATACAGGGATGTCCAGGACATTGGCCAGAGGACACCAGCTGGGCCTCATGGGGGCGGCGTCATTCCTCCCTGCTCATCCCTCTCTGGGTGGTCTCTTCCTTCTCTCCTCTAAGAACCGCCCCGATCCTCAGGCCTCCAACAACAGAACCTCAGCCCTCCCAGCAGGACGAGGTTTCAACCAAGGAGGTGGTGGCCACCAAGAGCCACCAAGACCCGCTGACCACGAGGCACCAGGGCTCCCGTCTCTGGCCTCAGGCTGTTGTTGCAGCTGTGACGAGCCTGGAGGAGGGTGTGACCTGGGAAGGGCCACTGACGTTTTTGCTGTTGTCCCTCTTACCTCGGCTCTCACATCCATTAAGAAGGGATGCCTATCTGGGTCCTGGACACCCCAACTTAAAACATCAGCCAGGCTCCCAGGCACGATGGGTCAGAATCCAGGCAGGGGGCACAGCAAGGATGCTGGCTCTGCTTCCCAGGGTCTGCGCCCCTAGCAGGGGTCACCCAGACGGCAGGGGGCTGGAGCCCTCTGAGGCTGGAGCCTGGGGTGTGATGACTCCAAGGCTGGGGACCATGGGAGCAGTAAGACCAGAAATGCTCGCACACGGCCTCTCCACATGGTCTGGGAGGGAGCATCCCCAGAGCAGCCGTCCCAGAAGGACCTGGCAGAGCTGCCGGGCCTCCGAGGTCACCTCCTTCCCTTCTACATCACTAGGCTATGGGGTGAGTGGTCACAGACCCACCCGGGATCGAGGGAGGGGACAGAGACCCCGCCTCCCCCTTGGAAGAGTCTCAAAGAACTTAGGGTCCTGAAATCACGATCCACGAGCTGCCCAACCTGGTCATCCTGCTGCTCCCGCTGCTCCTGGTCATCCCGGCCCAGGCTGGGATGTTTGTGTTTTCACGCAGTTTAACCGAGGTTTCATGACTCCTCAGTCTCAGGGAGGAGGGAGGGAGAGTCGGAGCAAAGCGACGTCATTGCCGTGCTACCCCGCCCCTGACGCTTGAGAAAAACAAGTCTGTCTGCTGAAGAGAACGAAGCATTTCTCCACAGCCCAGTCATCCTCGGGAACGCGCCACAGCTCAGAGGAATTTGTCTCCCACGGGAGGAGTCAGCCAACAGGATCGTAACATGGAATCCACCATCCCACAGCACGTCAAAGATGGGAAGAAAACCTTAACTCCTGGGAGCCCCATCCAAACCTATGTCCCCAGCCCGCAGCACTAAAATGTGGCCGGGGTACCGCCCCGCCCTAGCCAGACCCAAGGTTCACGGCACAGGGTCTGCGCAATAAAGACCTAAGTCACGCCCCGAACGCTGCAGAGACGCAAGGTCGTGCCCAAGATCATTCTTGCAGCTCAAAACAAAGGCACATGCCAGCTGTCGGATTCTGGCTGTAGTGCTCTGTAGCCCCATTTTTCAAAGAACTTCCTAAACTACTCCAGAAAGTTGGGCATTTCTAGCCTCAAAGTCCAGTAGAATCCGTGTGAGTGTGGACAGGTGCCAATGCGCTGACCACAGCACACGCCGGGGCTGCAATGAAGCAGAAGGTGGAAATGCTCCAGCCCCTCCAGGTCTCCACTGAAAACTTCCCTTCTCACGAGAAGATGCACGAAGCAATCACTTACGGTGCCGGAAATCTAATGGCTGTGTTTTAACTCCAAACATACCAGCTTCTAAAAACAGATTTCAGCCAGTTTACAGCATTTGCACGTTTCTCTTCCAGTTGTTTTCTGATTAAAATGCAGTGATGGCTGCTGTCGGTGAGTGTGAACTCTGATGTGCAGGTTGACTCCCGTGGGGCTCGGGGCCATCTGAATCTGAACAGGCTTGTGTCCCTGAGGGGTCACGGGACCCAGAATGACAGGGAGGAGGGAGACCTTAGTACCTCTATGGGTGAGTATGTGAGCACGTACACAAAATATTCCAGAACCTGCCTGTCTTCACTTCAAGTGTGCAAGGTTAACGCTCACGTGGAAACCCCTTCTGACCTCGGTCCTCCCGCGAGGCCTTGATTACTGTCTGCAGTTCCAGACAATCAGATTTCTCCAAGACACAGCCATAGAAAGCACTGGGGTTATACAGAGCTTCCTCTCCCTCTTTCTCTTCTGCCAGTTGTGGTTACAGATGAAAACAATTACGCCTACCTGTTCAGGGAGGCTGCCCGGCCAGGACACAGTGCGCAAGTCAAAAGGAGGGTGAACACACGCCGGGCCATCCGGCCTGCACAGAAAGCTGGCCCGCCTCAGCTCCTAAGTGTGCTTTTTGTCTACACGAGGGAGAAGACGCAAAGAGCTTGGCACTCTCAGCTTTTCCATCTGGAGCATTTGATCTCAGCCCCTTTTCCCTCCTTCATCTTGTGGAAACAAACGACAGGAAACTCAACCCCATGTTGCTGGGGGAAAGGCATCCTTCTCTCCCACTCACTCCGCAACGTCACCAGCTGGACTCTGCAAAGATGGGAAACGCAGAAGTGTACCTGTCCTCCAGGTGCTCACAGGTGTGCACCTGGCTGTGCCTGTGACTTACCAGGATCAGTGTTGTTCCCCTCCGCCGGCCCCAGTCCAACGCAGGTCGGGGAGGGTGTCTGCTCCACACAGTCATTCAGAACCCAGGCTTTTCCTCTCCGGTGGCCCTGTTGCCACCAGGCCCCTCACAGGGGGCCAGCAAACAAGGGACCGTGAAGGGAGATGCAGAGGATTCAGGGACCAGACCGCAGAACACGATCCCAAGGCCTCCCCTGCCTGTGGTGGGAGCTGGTGCCCCCAGGGAGAGGGGGACAGGTGAGCATACACACTGTCCGTGTCGCAGTAGTCCAGCTGGCCCCAACCAGGACATGGGAGTCACTTTCCACTGGCCGTTGCTGCAAGCTGCGACCTGCTCTGAGCAGGTCTGATGAGAAACGTGCACAGCTGGACGGCCGTAGCCAGTGCTACGTCTTGTTAGGACTCCAAATCCCACTGCGTCCTTCCCCGTAGCCACTTAGCTTCTTTCTGACTACTTTCTTTTTCGCGAGTGCAAAGTTTTTTCGAACACGTTTAAGCAGAACAGAGCAAAGTTTCAAGCAGGAATATGAACTGCTTTCTCCACAGAAAACAGCTTTTCTATCTCTATGGGTCACTGAGTAACTGAAGCTCCCGTGGCCAGTGTGCGGCCTCCTGCAGACCACATATAAATATTTAAAATTAGTTTCCAGATGTCCAGGCAGACTTGCAGGGCAGCAGCCCCTTTCTTCGCATTTCAGTGCTTTCTGGTTGCAAAAGAAGAAAATTAGCGAGCAGCCCGGAACCCCTAGGTCCTGAGCGTGGTGAGGTGCCATGGGGGCCCACAGGGAGCGTGTGCCATGCGGTGGGTCTCTGGTTCACCTTCAGTTTTATCAGAGCTGAGATAGCCACAGCCAAGAACATTAGAAATCAATACTAACATGGTCAATGGGTGCAACAGATATTTTATTCATAGAGTGAAGAAGATGGCCCGGGTTCCTGGAAGAAGCCTCATTGCACTCAGAGGTCTCCCTCTGCCTGCAGTCTGGGATGCAATGATGCAACAATGGCCTACTTTTACTGCTGGGGACCTGTTCCAGGTGCCGTGGCTGAGTAACAAAACGCCCCAAAACACAGTGACTGAAGACAACAGCAATTTCGCGCTATCGCTCTGGGTTTCTGTGGGGCAATAACTGGGGCCCAGCTCACCTGGGCATCTCTGGCTCCAGGTCCCATGAGCGTCAGTCCGAGGACAATGGCTGGCAAATTGGCGCTGCTGTTGGCTACTCCTCGGCTGCCTGAATGTCCTCACAGCATGTCGACTGGCCTCCCCCAGAGCCAGCAAACCCAGAGAGGGAGAGAGCGGCCAGGCCTGGCCTCCGTGACCTGCGGTGACCTCAGGGCCTCATAGCATGAACCCTGCACAGTCTGCTGGGGAGGTGGGTTCTGGGGGAGGGAACAGGGACCCTCTCTCAGGGTTGGAGCTGAAAGCCGCACTGTAAGAAGAGCGTGTGGGCCAGGTGGAGGCTGGCGTGACCCCTTTTGGAAGACACGGTCTGCCCCAGGGCCTAGCACCCAATCCTGCTCCTGAGGCTCACAGAAACCTTAAAGAGGAGAAGCAGCTTGGACAGGCGACACTGCCTGGCTCGGCCAGGACGGGGAGGGGTCCACGCTTGGACAGAGGGGTCTGGCTCCGGACCACCCCACCTCCAGCATTCTGCCAGAAAGTGCTCCCCCTCCCCAGGGGTACTTGTTCCTGGTACAGCTCTCTCAGTGAGCCCTGGATGTCAGCCTCACCGAGCACGAGGCCCCAACCAGAGTAACAGGAAACGAGGTCAGTCTGCAAATCGGCATTACGGATGATAGGCGCTGGCCCGGCCTGCAGCTCCTGACCTCCTTCCTCTCCCAGAACCATCACACAGTCAGTCCAGCCTCTCCTCACGGTCAAAGGCCTGAGGCAAATGCTGGATGCATTCAAAGGAAGACTGATACTCAGAGCCTGCTGGAGAGCACAGCCCGGGGCTGGGTGGGGCAGGTATGAATGACAGTGGCTGTGCCAACAGTGCTGGGGTCCTGCCTTTCTGTCCTGTGACTTGGACGCCTGCCCTCTGTCCTCTCAGACCCGGGACTTCCCCTGCTGGTGAGACCGCCTGAGGATAGGTCTCTGAGCACAGGCCTCCAGGGGCAGGTGGAACAAGACCCAGGATTCCAGGCATGGGGTGGCCAGGACCCCACTCCAACCCCACCATAAGACAGGGTCATGCTGGCTGTAGGAGCTCCATGGAAGACTTTCTGGGGTCTTGAAAGATAGCAAGGCTGCTGCCAACAGCGTCCTCTCTCTCTCTCTATCTCCCCCATTCCACCAGGCTTTTGGAAATTCTGGGCACTGGGCCATAAGAGGCAGGGGCAACTCATGAAGATCATGAAAGTGCACAGGAGGCCTCCATCTCTGATCCCCACCCCAAGGCACGTCTGGGAGGGAGGGCCGCTTGTGCAGGTAAACATAGATTGAACTGGGACACCTGGAGAAAGACTGGTTTCCACTCTCTTCTAGATGCAATCCCGCCAGCCTCGGGCCCCCCTGACAGGCATCTACTTCCTTTCACTACTTGTTCCAGCACCTAAGCCTGTTGACTGACGGGGGGTGGTGGCCCCCTGTGCTGTCCCTGGGCCGGAAGAGACAGACAGGTTCCTGCTCTGGGCCAGGAGCCATGAGGGTGGGACCCCCCCCCCCCCAGAGGGAAGGCTTCAGCCCTGCACTTGAATCCACTGGGGGCAGGTCCCTAGGAGAGAGGCTGGAACCCTGGTGGCCAGTCACACCTTCTCCTTAATGCCCTGTAGATACGCCCTCCTCTGGGATCTAAAGTCAGGGTCCACTTGTGGCTCTATCCCCATTCATCCTGGCAAAGGGAACCCTACCAACACTGCTAGGGAGAGGGCCAGAAATCCAGCCACCGACAGCAGGTCCGGCCAGCGCCTTGCGCAGAGAGCAGCTGAGTCTGAAGAGCAGAAGCAGAAGGGAGATCATGGCCATCAGGACTGCAGATCTCACACCTTCTAGGAAGGCAGCTGACCATGTGGGCGCTATCGTTTCTGGGACCCCTCCCGGGAGCTCAGGGTGGTGACGATGTGCAGAGCCACCAGGAACAAGTCTGTGCTAAGGCCACCCCCAGCCAGCCAAGCAAAGGCACCCCAGGCCCTGCCCATGCCTGCCCTGTGCCCGCAGTCCCTCCTTCAACCTTTCCCTCCCACACCAGCCACAAGGACCTCTGCTCTGGAGGGGTGCAGAGGGCACAGAAAGGAGAGAGGGGAAGTTAACCACAGGGGCTGTGGGCGAGAGCTCTGGACCTCGGGATGGATGGTGCCGATGGAGCTCTGCTCCTCCCCGAAGGTGATTTTCCGGCTGCCCCAACTCTGGACAGTAGCTTGAAGAGGTGGAAGTCTGATGCTCCCCATTACCCACAGGCTGCGATGATCAGAGCAAGGGGCCCTGGGGAGCTGCCAACCCACAAAGGCCAACCAGTGGGTCCTCAGGTGCAAGGAGGGTAGACTGGAGAGCATCTTAGCCATGTGTCCTGGAGACCCAGGCCCCTCCCCAGAGAACGTGGAGACTGGTATCTCCTGGGCCTTTGCTCTGAGGTTCCTGGGGGAGGAGGGGTCTGCAGCTTCTGTTGAGCAGGGGGAGAAGCAGGGACAGGTGCAACCTGGGGCTCATCCCTCCTTCAGAGCCAGGACAGGATCAGGAAGGCAGGGGAGCCCGGACGGGAAAGTGACTGAGGGGCAGGGACCCAGACCAGCAGCTGCTCTTTCCATGGAACCCTGGAGAAAGCGCATCAGGCAGCCCACTGGAATGTCAGCCAGCCTGAGGCTCAGGGGCAATTCCCTTTCCCGTTAGGTGGTTCCCACTAGTGCACCCTGCAGAGGCCAGGACTCAGAACATTCAGTACAAATGCAGAGCTACCCGCTCCTCCCTAAAAAAGACTCCAGCTGCTGGCGCCAGAGCTGCTTGGAAAGCCGGCTCCCCGGGGAAGGAGAGGAGCCTGCACTTGCGAGCACAAGGCTGGCGGGAGCGAGACCCGCTTCCGCGCAGCCGTGGGCAGGACGCGCCTAGGTGGAGTGGGAGGCGATGGCCAGCGTTACAGCGCTGGAGAGGGGCCCGGAGTGTGCTGGGCCAAGCACTGCTGGAGGGAGAGCCGGTGGAGCGAGTGCCCCTGTAGCCACTTCCCCTACAGTTTCTTCTGAAATCCGCCTCCTCCGCCCACAGGGTTCACCCTCCTGGTCCCTGGTCCCGGGGGCAGGTCAGGGGTGCAGGTGCACGTCACAGCCATCCTCCCCCATTCTTCAAGGCCTGGCCCGGATGTGGAGGGAAGGGGCAGCCCCCTGGGCCACCGGGCAGGGCAGGACCTGGCCAGTTAGCAGCAGCCCAGTAGACAGGGCTGCAGAGGAAGTTGGCGGGGAGGAGCGGGGGTGGGGGGGTGGACATGACATGCCTTCAGGGGACACGCTGCTGCAGAAAGAGCCAAGAGCTTCTGCGAAGCTAGGAGAAGACAGAGAAAGGGCGGCCGAGGCTCCAGAAAGAAAGCCAAGATAGCTGGAGGCTTCCTGCTCAATGGAGCTCCCGGAAGGTGCTCCCGGAAGGTGCTCCCGGAAGGTGCTCCCGGAAGGTGCCTGAGATCCCTCCCAGGACGTCCCCACCTCGCTCCTTCCTTCTACCCATACGTTGAGCCCTGCAACAGGAGCACTTCCTGCTGTTACTGGTGAAAAAGGAGCATTTATAGAGTCCCTCCCCCGACAGGGCCAGCACCGTCCTAAGTACTGCCCCCACATTTTCCTCTTTAATCGGCACAGTAACCCTAGGAGGTATGCACTGCTCTTATGATCCCCAGTGTGCAGATGGGGAAACTGAGGCACGGACATGTGGCACAGCTTGCCCCAGGCCAGGCAGGGTGCTGGGGGCCTGGCTCCAGAATCCGTGCACTGTGTCCCGTCCGTGCTGCACGGGGTGGTGGTCAGAGCCTTCCACACCCACCCACTGGCCCATTCATTCAGTGCCCAGAGCACTGTCCGCAGGCATCTGCATGGTC